GCGCATCCGACCGGCGCCCCCTCGGACGCTCCGACCCACCCGACCATCGTCCACGGCCTCCTTCGCCCGCACAATCACCGATCCGTCAAGACCCTCCCAACGATCACCTTGGGACAGAGCCTGCGACGCCGCTCAGGCCTTCTGCGCTCTCGTCGGCAGTTACGGACGACCAGTATATAGTTGGCGCCCTAGCAGGCGGACCCTTAGAGTTTCTTCTCTTTGGATCCTCCCCTGCTAGGTCGGTCCCTCCGTGTATTTCCCGTAGCTTTTATTCACGCTTTGGATCCTCCCCTGCTAGGCTTTCGTCGGAGTCTCCAGGGTTGCCCTTACACCGAGCGCATCATGATGTGTTGATCATCATCCATCATTCGGCTAATTTGGCGGGCAGCTGGGGGTCGACGATGGTGTGGAGGTTTAGAGCTCATTGAAAGCAGCCATGATGAATATGGATACAGAAGCTATCACTATTTAGGTATACCTACAATTGTTACCTACAGCTATATCTTATAATTTTTTTACATCTCCTAATAGCTTATAACTAGCCTAATGCACACATCTTGTTCCTACTCTGGTATCGCGCCCACAACGGAGGCAAATGCGCAAACCATCGCAAGCCTCACCGGAGGTGATAGCCGAGGCTACGCGAAATTGATTGATGCACATCAAAAAGCCCTCGGTGCCCACCCCCCACGACAAGCGGCGCACGTGGCGATGACGATGACGTGGCGCCAATCACGGAGCTTGCGGGCACCCGACGCTGAGCTCCGCGGGTGTGCGCCGGCTTCTGCGTCTGCGGCGGTGGCACGCTGTATGGGCACCCGGCCAAGGCCGGCGCGTGCCACCGGCGTGTGCGTGTGCGTGTGCGTGCGCGGGGCGGCGGCGGGGATGCGCTGGGCCCGCACCTGTACACGGGGTTTTTTTAAAAACAAAGCCTTCTCATTACTATAGTTAATTTTTTTTTTTTGAAAAATGCCTCTAATCTATTGCCCCAGCCAAAAGGCAGGTTTTATATAGGGAAATGAGAGATCAAAAAAAAGTTTAAAAAATTGAAAGGCCATGTCAGGGTGCGCAGTGTGGTAGCTATAAGGCCCCAGACCTGATGTGTGGAAAAGTCCTTAGGCATGGGGAAATTACCAAGTAGGAGAAAGGCCAAAAAAGACAAAAAAAAATGTTGATGCCAAGGTGCCAAGAAAGATACAGAGTTTAAGAGCGTGGATTTTATTAAAACAAGGGGAATCCTGGTAAATCACTGGTGTTTTTTAAAAATGTTAATGTCAAACCCTGGGTTCAAAAACCCTTTTTCTTCGCCCTTTAAACCTTTTATTTTGGCCCTGGTTGATAAGATAAGACAAGGAGGAGATAAGATGGACAATCAGATGGTCATTAGATCATCAGATGTCGATGCTGATGCTGATTGACAGCGTGGAGTTGGACATGAGGACAGCACATAAAGGCATGGCTAAAGGATGATGTCATTGCCTCTTGTATTAGGCATGGTAAACACATGGTAGTAATGTATATAAGTAGAGTAGATTTCGTCTTGTACCCCAGTCTTCGAATTGCATCATCTTTACGATATCTTTTCATGGTGCTTCTTGCTTGCCTTCACTGGCCAACTGACATCTCTGAATTGGTGTTGTTTGTGACAGTTAATATGCTAATTACGAGGGATCTTTTCTTTTAAAAAAAAACCCCCACGTATATGCCTGGGGCCCGGGCGATGGCGGGTAAGCAGTTCCCCTGGTGCAGTCGGTGTACTGTAGTATTCTAATCAGTTTGTCAGTCACGTGTCACACAGGGCTCAAGCCGACGAAATTTTTTTCGTCAGTCACGCATATCCAGCAGAAATTGGCCCCAAATTGGTCCATATATGGTAATTTTCCGTCCGATCCGGCGCCGAAATTCCCTAATGGGGAAGGCCTGACGAAAGTTTAAGTTCGTCGCACATGTCACGCAGGTTGGCAGGTGACGAATTGATTAAAATAGTACAGTATTGCTCTAAACCGCCCCAAAAATTAAGACTCATGCTTACAGCACGGCTGCCTGTTGGATGCTGGACATGGAGTAGAGTATAGCAGGAGGCATCCGGCGGCTTGTTCGACACCAGTGCCAAACAATATGAGGCAGGGTGCATCAGTGCTTTTTCTGCATCCAAAGCGTTAACATGCGCCGACGCGCTGCTGACTGGTGAGTCGTACACACTGCCATTGAAGCAGTGTTCCAATCTAAGGGGTTAATAATGGTTCCTGCTGATATTAAGGGCTTAACTCATCCTAGATTCCTAAGGGTCAAGTTAAGAGTGGTTTATTAAGGGTAATTCTAAGGATTAATTTCCTAATTAGGCTATGGCTCCCGAGCCCTCCAGTTCACTGTTGTCAGACTCTTCATTGCTATAAGCGGTGTTAAGCAACTCCATCTGCAGTGTCTCCTAAAAATGACACCACTTCTAAGATTATCACAAGCCTCGGACCAGTGATCCTGCGGCGCCCGATCTCCGATTGGCTTTCTCGCAGCTCGCATGTTAAGGGCAAGTTAAGAGTATCTCAGCCCTTAGGCAGCCTAACTGGTGATGTTAAGGGCTTAGCCCTTAGGGGTTAATAACCCCTTAATTAATTGAACCCTTAGACTTAGATTAGAACACTGTATCGGAGAGCCGTGTAGGTATTGTTGAGAAGAATGTCACCGGCCAGCGCTGACTCAGCCCGGCCCCTCCAGCTTCTCCTATTTTGCACCACATTCTACTTACTCATCTTTCCACTCCCCTCCACCTTACTCCTTATATCATCATATCCGACTCCAGTCTCATGGGGCAGCGGCGGAATCGACCAGACCAAGATGCAGGACTTGGCCTGGTCAGCCATAGTCCGCGCTGACGGGGGCAGCGAGCAGCTTGCAACGTCACGTCAGGAGCATTCTGCTTAACCTCTACAGGGCTGGATGAAGAGCATCATCACATGGAAAATCTAGTTTATCTGTCTGTACCCCTTCCGATTGCTGGATACGTCTCAGCACAGATAGGAGAAATATATTCCCTCTCTTACATTCCACCACAACCTCTGAGTTTGAGCAGCGCGAGCGAAAGCGCAAAGTCGAGCCCGCGAGCTCTCCGTTAGATTCCGAAGCTGAGTACATCTTATCTTATCTCACCCACACCTCTACCCCCCTGCCAGTGCATATCTCGATACGACCTTGGTCCCATCGCTGTCCCTGCTTGGACAGCATCGCCCTTCTTCACCGAGCACATGGTCATAGTGGTATTGACATACACATCAAGTGTTTCTTTTGTTTTTTTCCTTTTACCAATGCAAATTGCATCGAGACTAAGTACAGAAGGCCAAGACGCCGTATAGGAGGTGCTCGCGTTCCATCATACAAGCAGCCAGCTCCCGTACCTATCGTTTGACACGAGCACGGTGTGCTTAGTTCGATTTCTGACAGTGAGTCTTTTTCTGAGCCTTTCCCTTCACCGTCCATGACTCGAGATAGCCGCGTTGCTGCGCACATGACACGTCCTCCCGCCACTGACGTAAGCACACTCACGTGTCATTCCCCACTTCTCTCCTACTTGCATCCTCTCTCGGCTGGGGTTCCCCCCACATACCATGGCCGAGGCTCTTCACCATCTTTTGCTTACAGATCACGATCCACTAGAATCAAAAGACAAGGAGGGAAAATACTTCTGAAAATTAGAGATCTGTTATGGAAAACTATACATAGTACATTTAGAGTGGCATTCCCCAACTACAAACATTTGGTGAATGCCCACTATGAAAAGTTCCAGAGACTCTGGAACATATCATGTTAGAATGCATAGCTTTAGAAATATTCCAGAGTTGGAAACTGACTGAAATGCTCTAGAGTATGAAATCTAATCAATGGCCAAAGATTGAATGGGGATGAATAGTGGGATGTAATCTAACCAAGTTCCATACTAGTAAGGGAACTCCTCAACCTCACAAAGATTGACTGTTCAGTATTTTAGTTTCAACTGCATGGTATATGATTTGGAATATGAAAAATGAAAGACATGTGAAAAATCCTGGTGACATTTGCCAAGTTCATGAAGTGCATAATCAATGGCTAACAATGATAGTTTGGATACCCCAATGGGATAGGATTTTAACAAATAAAAATAAATTTGAGAAACTATAACCAGCTATTAATACTTGGAGTGGACTTCTGCTGGATGAAGACTCCTTGCTGGATAGCTGGATACATGAGGAGGGGGGGGTTTAGTGGGTATTCTACCATTGAAGAAAGGTGTTGGATAAACCACACCAAAGTAGGAGTCCCACACTGGTTTTAAAATGTGCATAAAGGCATTTCCCCCCTGAGCTTACTTTCCGGTATTTTACTGGCAAACTCCAGTTCATCGAGCGGATGTTCTTTGAAATGGCTCTGCAGACTGAAGTCCATTACTCCAATGAACGCTCCAAAAAATAATAATAATAATAAAATAAAAGGGGGAAAATGCTTGACTCGACTCAAATTATTGTCAACTTACATAGTATTGGGATGCCTGTGGCGCGGCACCAACCAAGGGCTCCTGTTGGACTGCTCGCTTGCACCCATGTAAATAAGTGATTTACGAGCACGACAAAAGGAAAGGAGAGAAATGAAAACAATCCAATCCAAAAGCATATAGTCTGTAAAAATCTAATGCCTACTCCTCCTTGCCCTCCGCGTCCTGCGGCATGCTCATCAACACCACGTGCTCCCTGTGCTCACAATGAATTACTCACACCTGTTTCAACTTTCGAAACAGGGTCAAATATGTAGGGTACTATTTAAGTTCAACCAAAAAACATGGTTGAGGAATCGAATGGTCATGCCCACCACACGCGTCGAACGGCACTGCAGGCTGTGCCTCCCCTCGCCTGAGTACAAGGATAAGGGCGGCTGATTAATTGAGGAGCTCGACGAGAAAAGAAAAGAAACGAAAACAAAACAATCCGAAAGCATGTGCCAGTGGTCTCTCTATATACCCCCCGTCTAAAAATTCACTCCTCCTCCTGCGGCATGCTCATCGACGCCGCGCGCTCCCGATAGCGCCCCCACGACACCCACCACTCGTCCGCGTCGTCTGCGGCGTCGTAGCTGAACACCATCCGTGTCTCGTCGAGCATCTCCTGCATGTCGCCCTCCGCCTGGAACACGTTCCTTCCCGCGGCCGCGTTCGCGCGCATCATCGCATCGCGCCCCGCCTGCGCCGGCCCGTCCGGCGTCGTGATCATCCCGATGTACGCCGCGTCGATCCCGCGGATGGACGCGCAGCGCGCGCGGCGGTGCTCCTCGAACGCGTACAGCAGCTCGGGGACGCGGCCCGGCGCCGCCGTGTGCCCGAACACGCGCCCCAGGAAGAGCGCGTCCTCGAGCGCGAGCGAGTACGTGTGCAGTGCGCAGGCGGGCAGCGGGTGCGCGGCCTCGCCGAGAGCGAGCACGCGTCCGCTCTCGGAGACCCAGGACTCGAGGTCGTAGGGCGTGGTGTACGGCAGCGCGATGGTCGGCCCGGCGAGGGAGGCGAGCAGTTTTAGCGGGCCGTCGGACGGCGCGTCGGCGATAACCTCGGCCATCGACGCCGGGGCCGGCGCCGTCCACGTGCCGGAGTGGGCCAGGGCGGGCGAGGGCGTGTAGAGGAAGAAAAACAAGTCACGGTTCTCGTCCATGTCCGTGACGGCGCCGACGCCCGAGCCCATCGACACGGTGCTCTCCGGGAACTCGTAGAAGCTGTCGAGCTCGCGGTGTTCTTTGGCGAGCGCGTGGGGGACCACGGAGCTGGGGATAAGGTTAGTCAAGTTATATTTGACGGATAGTAGAGGAGTGGATGATGTTCGTCACAGGTACGCCTCTGAACGGGCCGCGGATGGCTATGGTGATGACTGGAGTCGAGAGGGAGCCATGGAGCCCGTCCTGGTCAAGCCCTCCCGTGCACAGGGCCTACGGTGACCGAAGCCCTCCCGCGTTTGAGAGGGGCGGAAGCTCTCAACGCCGCAGTCAGCCGGGCACCGAGGCTTGGCAGCCCGACCCCAGCCCTCATCGGGCTTGGCAGAGCAGTCCCCTAGGTCATCATAAGCCGAGCCGGCCCCCGCAGCCCGCTGTTCACAAAGCCAAACTGCGAGCCCGCCATCTGATGGCTGTTGTGGGTGCGGACTCGGCTGCCTGATCGGGACCCGTCCTCGCGCTCGCCCCATGCCCACCACGTTGCCAGGTCATGGAGCTACCCGCCCAAGCCGGGGCCCGGCCCGAATCAGGCCTCGTGCTGCGCCAGCAACAGCCGTTGCGGCCATCCGACCAAGCCTCGAGGCGTCGGCGCGTACCGGGCCGGCTCCAGGGTCTGGCAAGCCCGGCTCGGCGAAGCCCCGGTGCAGGGCCTGCCGGTCGCGCTTGGGGTGCAGGGCTCGCGGTTGTGGGTGCGGACCCACGACCACCAGCCGTCACGCCCATCCGAGCCAAGGCACCGACCGTTTGGCAGCAGGTTGGCCCGCGTCCGCGACCGGGGCCCTGCGGACAGGGAGGTGGCCACCAAATTTGGGGGTGCACATTTGGAGCCCAAGGCTGAGATGGCCACGATGGCGATTGCTCGCGAGTCCACACCCACCACAGCCTCCCGGCGTCCGCAGGTGCCGGAGCCGGCCGGTGGCGCCGGATATCGAGCTCGCGGGCTGCGGACGGGGCGGAATGGGCTCGGCCTTTGAGCCAAGCTCCGACGCCCCCAAGCCTGCGGTGACTTGGCGCAGACCTCCGCGCCGGCCGTTGCTGCGAGCTAGGCGCGCAACAGCCGCCCATCGACAGACATCGTCTTGTCGAAGATCTGCTTGGTTAGGCAGTTCGCGCGCGTGCAGAAAGCACCCGCGGCCCGCCAGCAAAGGGCGGAAACCCGCACGACGGGAAAGCCCTAGCCATCTCATCAAGGAGATGGGTGTCGTCGGGTGCGGAGTCGCTGCCTAAGCCGGGGAACTCGCCCAGGGAACACGAAGGGGCCCGGCGGGCGACAAGGGCCGAGTCCTGGAGCCCGCCGCCGGTCCCGGTCCCCGGCCCGAACCGGGGGCTCGGCCTGTGCCCGCAACGCCAAGTCGGTCAGGGCCTGTGGGTGCGCGATGATGCCCGTCCTGACCCGCCGCGCTCGGCCTTTCCGCCAAGCTCCGACGCCCCCACGCCCGCGGGAAGCAGGCCCGCAACAGCCATCGACAGACAGCGTCTGGTGCAACCGAGCGTCTGCCTTCCGCAGGCCTGCAGAAAGCGGGCTACCCGCAACCCGCCAGCAAAAGTGGCCCGTGACGAACACCAGATGATAGGAAAGGAAGAAAAAGAAATGACTCACCAATATATCGTCATCCCCAGATCCTCCTCCTCCTCGCCGCGCGGCACCTCCTCCGCATCAAGCAGCATCCTGCGCACGACGCCCCGCGCGCCGTCCGCGCCTATCACCGCGTCGCCGCGTATCACCTCGCCGCTGCTCAGCGTGACGCTCGGCGCGTCCGCCGCGCCGTCGACGGCGGCCACAGCCGCGCCGAAGCGGATCTCGACGCGGGGCGACTGCGCGCGCGCGTACAGCAGCCGCAGGAGCGCGGCGTGCGTCGTGAACATGAACGTCCCGCGCGCGTCCTCGAGCAGCTCCGGGTCCCACGTGTTCAGCCCCATCAGGTCGCGCGCGCCGCCGGGCAGGTCGCTCGCATCTGCGCCCGTCAGCGCTGCACACACACAATGAAAGCAGGGGAGAGGAAGACGCACACTTGTACACCCCGAAGCCCGCGTTCTCCACCGCCACCTGCCTCAGCGCGTCCTCGAGGCCCCACCCCGCGAGGATCTTGTACGCGTTCGGCGGGACGCGCGCGCAGCCGGGCACCGCCGCGCCGCCGCCGAGCGCGGCCGCGGCCTCGAGCACGCGCACGCGGTGCCCCGCGTCGGACAGCGCGATGGCGCTGGCGAGCCCCGCGACGGAGGCGCCCACGACGATCTGGGGGCGGCGTCAGCGGGTGCTGGCGCGGGAGAAGACGGGGGGTGGCTGCGACAGCGACAGGGATGGGACGGGACAGGGACGGACGTACGAAGCTCAGGCCCTCGCTCGCTGCATCTGCTGCTGTCGTCGCCATTCTAGTCTAGTCGTCCTTCTCTTCTCGTTCGTACTCGTGCGTGCTGCGGCAGGCGCAGGTCGCAGGTCGTAAGGGGAGCGGGTGCAGAGCGCTCGTGGAGGGGGGAGAAGAAGAGGGCCGCAGAAACTGCCAGCCGCCTGTCGCCTCCCACGTCACCCGCGACGGGCATCACGAAAACGCCACCGCGCGCCAACCAGGAAAATTTGCTTCCGTCTGATCGAAGCGCCGCCCGGGGCTTCTCGCCGCGTTCTCCGCCCCGCTGCGTCGGCGTGCGCCATGCGGTGCGTCTGCAGGGTGCAGGGTACGTGTACCGACAGCGCCCGGGCGGAGGGGCCCAACGCCCGCGCGGCGTGGGGCGAGCGGACTTTTGGGGTAGCGGGCAGGATTGGGGCAGGCAGCCGCGCCGTAAGCGTAAGCGTGATTCTCAACTTTTGGGGCGTGTTGCTACCCGAGCTAGCCGAGCCAATACGCCGAAAGGACCGGGTGAACCGCTTACCCGTGCCCACCGCATCGCATCCCCGCGCCGCACCATCCAGCCCGCGCCCGCACGCTGCACGCTGCTGGTGCGCATGCAGCGCCACCGCACACGTCGGCGCACACCCGCGAAGTGGAGGGTAGCCAGTGGCCCGCAAGCTCCGTGATTGGCGCCACGTCATCGTCATCGCCACGTGCGCCGCTGCTGTTGACGCTTGTCGTGCGATCGCTGTTCTTTTCACCCGCGAACAGCAAGCGCCGGAGAAGAGAAGCTACGCCTCGCCTGCCCTCGCCAGCAAGCAGGCGTCGCACGCCGCGGCCGGCCCTTCCCTCCCCCCGTGCGTCGCCGGGCCCAGCGTCCTGCGCCTCCAGTCCACCGCACCTCCAGCGAGCCAGGCACGCCCGGGCCCCGCCTCCGTCTCCGTTGCCACGCCACAGCCTGCCACGCGACACGCGACACACCCGCTGACCCACGCCGTGTCGCGCGTGCGACCCGGATCCGCGCGGAGACAGCGCGTGTGCCGGCATGATGTGGGCCAGCCCAGCCCAGGCCAGGCCAGCGGGAACGCCGCCGGAGCGCCCGTGCGCCGCATACAGTCGCGGTCGGCCGACGTCTCAAGACCGCGCGTGGGAGCGCGATGGCTGCAGCTGCCGCGTGCCTGCCCTTTCCATTGACTCCATACAATCGCCCGAATTGAGTCGCGCAGCCAAGGCGCTTCGATGGTTCGTCCTCGCCCGGCGAGCCGCGGGCGCCGAGACAGAATCCCGCTACGCGTGCCAATCGGACGCGCGTCTACCGTTTACGCTGTGCGCACTGAATGCGGCGGCCGGTGCGCATGCGCGATTGGTGCCCGGCGCGCGTGGGGCCGCCGGCGGCGACGCCGCCATTGGCTGGTGCTTCTCCGTGGGCGCGCCGCGTGCCCGAGCTGCACGGATGCGGTCCCACGTCGGCGTCGGCGGAGCGCATTCAACGCCGCGGCGGCCGAGATCAAAACGTCGAAGCCGTCTTCGTCTTCGTCCAGCAAAACAGGAGTTCAATACCGCAGTATACCCGCGGCGCGCACACGCGTCGAACGCGCGCCCCCGAGTTCGTGCCCACGTGCACGTGGCTTCCGCGTGGGCGTTGAGGATATCGATGTGTTAGTGCACACTGATGTGTTAGTGCACACACTAACAGATCGATACTGCCGGTGTGCAGCACACTGGTGGCGCCGCGACGGGGGGCCGGCGCCCATCGCGTCCCCTGGACGCGACTCCAATGTCCGGCGTTTATCGGAGAGTAGTCAAAGGCGCGAGGTGGCACTGGCAAAACTTGAAGTGGACATGTGTTATGTATACTTTTACTATCATGGCCCGTCAGCGCGTGGGCACAAGGTGCTCGGGCAACCGAGGTGGGGAGCAAGTCGGTGCGCCGGTTGTTGGTCCCGCCTTGGTCCCGCCGCTGGCGACGGCGGAGGACGGAACGAGCCAGATGCCAGTGATGCAGCGCCTTCCGTGTCGTCGGTCGTCTAGTGGAAGCAATTTGAAACACAAGCGGCCAATGGCCATGGAATTGTTTAAACTTTGAGTTTGGCACGGCTCGCAAGAGATTCAAATATGGCTCGCAATGGTAGTACGACCAACGGCGCACCTGCCTATTGTCCCCCTCCCCATCCGCTTACAGCGCATGACGAGCTGTTGGGGTTTGGTTGGGGTTCCAAAATACAGTGCCAGTGGGTCGGTGTTCAAAGATATCGTGCGGCTCTCATGTCGAACAAGCCGCCAGACCGTCATGATCACCGGAGGCCAGCGCAACGGCTGGCAGAGGCCTGTCCTGCCCGTCCAGTGTCCACTGTCCACCATGCACGTCGGATTGACTGCGGAAGGGTCCGCAAAGTACTGCAACATCCACATAAGGGGCCGCGCTCGTGTCGAACGAGCGCCGGCGCACGGATGCCGATGACGATGAGCCCGTGGGCCATGGCAGATTCCAGAAGCAGCCCGCGCACCGATCCTAATGCTGCACCATATACATCATGATCATCTCCGCGCCCGCGTCCGGCGTGGCCTGAGTCATGTTTCCAACCTCGGACACCGCAAAATAGAACAGAACGGCCGACAACCTCATCACACCCTCCGCGCGTATCGAACGCGCGCTGCGCCTTCAAGCATTGCGTTGCAGGGGCTCCAGGGGCGCTCCGTGAGCTCAGCGGCGGGCGGTGATGGGAGACAACGACTGACTGGGCTCTGGAAACGTCAACTTGAAGAGATGCCAACGGTCGACTGTCAGTCATTGCGAAAACTTGAAGCGAGTTGTTCGGGAAATGATAAATTGAAGGCCGGAGGCAATGCTGGGGCAGATAACCCGGCACAAGGTGCATACAAGCGGTGCAGAGTCGGGACCACCGCAAGTACTAGCAGAGGAAAAAAGGGCAGAGGCTACTTTAGCATGCATAAGCATCGTCCTCGTGGCGAACGAGACACACCAGGGCATTGCCAGTGAGACCATGACGAGCCGCGAGCAGAAGCCGACTACTAGTAGCTTGAAGGGATAGCACGGGTGCGGCCGTTTGTATCTTGGAACGTGGGGCGGCGTCGGCGTCGGCCGGATATCTCCGCAATTTGATCTTTTCGAAACCCCTTCGACGTTGTCTTGACGATGAAACATCAACATCGCACCACTGCGTGCAACGACGCAATGGCAGATGCGCTGGCTGGGCGGAGCAGCGTCCAGTAGTCGTTGACCACAGAGATGGATGACTCGGAGTTGTCGCCTCGACTCGGAGAGGGGTACAGTAAGTTTCATCAGACCGTCGAGCGACTCGGGGCCACGGGCGCTGGCGAAGGGTGGCAGGTCCCGCGCCATGGCAAGTTAGTTCCCGACAGAGGGAGCGCGCTCGGGGTCAGGCCAGAAGCAGCAGCGAGCACCAACAGGGTCGCAGGTGGTTTGGGAAAAGAAGTCGCGGGCGTGACGTAACGCCACGTCATCTTATTCTCGGACCAAGTCTCGGACTTGTCTCAGACCGCCACGGCCGCCTGAGACTAGTCTGAGACGTATTTCTCTCCTGGCGTGCGGCTTAGCGCTTCAGGGCGATGAAGCGGGCGCCCGAAACACAGCTGTAGGGAACCGGTGCGCCTGCTCATGCGAAATTTGACCTTGTGCTATCTGCTAACTCAGACTTGTTTCCTAACGACCAGCGGGCTTCAGAGAGCCAATAAGTATTTGGCATACCGTAGAACGCGGGCGGATGCAGAGGACGACGGAGAACTCTCCGACAGCACTGTGCGTGAACATCTCTTTCCCTCGGCTCTTTCGCTCACTGCAGGCAGCTGTTGGCCAGGCAGCTTCATCTTCCCTTTCCCCTCCACTAGCAACTACACCATCGACACCAAGACATGTCATCTTCTCCTCAGATGCTTAGATAATAATAGACCACCACGCGCACTTGAGGCCGCCGCTCTACTCGGCGCTCCCGTGGTGGGTTTGGCGCTTCGGGTCGATGAAGCAGCCGCCGACGCATAACTTGGCGTTTCCTGTGGGGAATGAGCGAACGCTGCAAATCGCGCCGTTCAGTGACTCACTTTGAACGTCAAGGATCATGTCGACTGACCTGAACACCCGCGGGGCAGACTCTAGAAAGCCAATCCTCAAGTTTAACGTCCTGGAGGACGTAGACAGAGACGGCAAACGACGGATCATTGGGGATATGCGGCATTCAACCCAGCGTTTTCACTCACTCGAGGCTGGCTAGGCAGCAGCCTCATGGCTGTAATGCTATCACCGTCATCTTTGACCCTCAAAAGGCACTTCTCTGGAGGACCACTGAGCTTCCCGGGTCTTGAAATGAGCGACCATTCACACGCTGCACATTGTTTACGAGGACTCACTTGCTTAAGCTGTCCTCAACTCGGCGCGACCTGGCTGAAGACCCGTGGGCCGTAGAGACCTTTGGAGGCTAGGAGGGCGTACACGGAGGCGAAGACATACAGACTCGCAAAGGGAATACGGTGCGTGAGGATCCTCCCTTCGGTTTCCTTGTCGTTTTTGCTCATCCAATCCTGGTCAGGCACATTCACGGCGCTGAGTGCTGGGGCTCGAGACGCTCGATGTGAAGGCGGCATTCTGTGCGTTTCCAAGCCGCTTGAGCTCTTCCATCGACTTACGAGTTTACTCCAAGATATCTGTTGCTTAGTCTAGCACCAAATCAAGACACTGCTCTGACTCATTGTCTAGTACCGGTCTACTCAGAATGATCTATTCAAGGATTATGTATCGACTCCCCGCCATCGGCCTCGTCGCTACGTCCCGGCCGCGCTCAGTGGCGTCGGCATCTTGATCCCGGGATAAACACGCGGTGGCAGCGCATCGTGACGCAGCGATAAAGGAAACCCTGAATGACGACGTTGCTCGTTGGATTGAAGAGGCAGAGCTCCTGCGCGGGGTTGTGCCCCAGGTTAGACCGCGTGAATGGTGTCTCGCGGAGACTGAGATGGGTCTGCGCTGGGTGCTGCTGAAGCGAAACGAGTAAAGCGCGGAGGACCATGAT